TCTCTCTCTCTCTCTCTCTCTCTCTCTCTCTCTCTCTCTCTCTCTCTCTCTCTCCTTTCTCTCTGTCTTTCTTCCTCACTTTCATACCTCGATCTTTTGCGTCTTCCTCTTCCCTCAAGCTTCAAAGCTCTTTATGAACTATCGTCCTGTTTACACACTTGATGCCCACAAGCATGCTTTCGCGTACACATACATATAAATCGGCAATATGTAGCGACAATATGTAGTACAGGACTCGCGAGTAGAACGCTGTGCGAGTCACCCGTAAGACCTAATACGAATTTCGGTACGGCTCTTTTTTAACTAGTCTCTTCGTGTTATTCTCCTATCATCCCCGCGCGTCATCTAGTCAAGAAAATTTACGCCTTTGTAGGAATAAAATTTCCTATTTGGCATCTTGTAGCATGATTGTGGAGGAACGTAAGATAAAGGCAAAAACGTACTTCTTTCGTCTTCCTTGTCAAATTTCTTACAATTTTGCTTGTGTCAATAAAACGTCAAAGATGTTCCAAGGTGTGATTTCTTTTCATCTATGATTATGACCGAATGCAAAAACAGAAACTCGAAAGAAGAAGAGCGCAGCGAGGAAAAAAAAGGGAATGAGAGAACACGAGAGGAGACTCGTTAATATCGCATTCTTTTTTTCTACCCCCCTCCCCGTTATTTTCCTTCGAGCTTTCCACATGCACAGTCTACGATTACATATCGGACAGTCGAACGATCTAACCTACTTCTTTCTAATTATCTCTCGCGCGGCCTCCTTTCTATTTCCTTCATTACTTCTCTCTTCAACCGTTCTCTCTCTCTCTCTCTCTCTCTCTCTTTCTCTCACACATACACACGCACACGAACGCAAGTACACATACGCTCAGTCTCTCTCTCCCTCTTTCTCTCTCACACACTCCTTGCAACTACACTTTTTCGCTCTGCTGGAGCTTTTTGCTGCCGGCTTGACGATTGTTATTGGGCTTGTTCTTCAGGGAGGTCTGCTTGGCTTGCGCATGCTGACGCTGCTGTTGCTGTTGATGTTGCTGCGTTGCCGTGTTCGCCGCTCCCGAAACTGCCATCTCGATTGCCCGAGTGAGATCGTGTATACGCGACGGTAGACGCTGAAGGAATGGCTGCCGTTGGCCCTTGACTCCTCCATGAAGGATGCCACCGGCAGTGCCGCCGACCCCGATGTGACTATTGATGTTGTTGTTGCCAATGCCGCCCGGCACCTGGCCAGGACCCCGCTTGTTGTAGAGGTGACCCGCCG